TAGATTTTAGAAAATTTACATATTAAAAAAACCCAAAAAAAACATATAAAATAAATACAACAAATTCATCACCTTAAAATAAAATTATAAAATTAATTAAATAATTTAACCCGCGGTGTACCGCGGGTAATATCCTAGTTACTTAATAAAAGCACAAAAACATTTTATCTAATTAATACATAGTTTATTAGTTTGGGTGAAATGAAATTTGTGTCTCCTATCCCTTTTCTCCCAACCAATGCCATCTCGCCATGTCACCCCACAACACAAAGAAGAACTGATCCAGGATGAGAGCGGGCAGGCTGATCTTAAGCCCATAAGCCCATTATTTTAGATTAAAAAAAGGCTTAGATCAGAGGGGTGGTCCTGCAATGTAGATGGTCTAATAAAGGGAAAACACACAATTTCGGATTTTAACCTTTTTTATGGTTCTTGAAAAATGGTTTTTGTTTTTAGTTTTTGCATTTTTACGTTTCTAATTGATGATTAGTTCAAAATGTTAGTGTCTGTTATCAACAAGTTTTGTCGCTTAGACGACAACAAGTTTTGTCGCTTAGACATCGAACTTCTTTTGGTTAGATGGTAACAACCAAACCAACATAACTAGTATTTTTTATGGAGAGCAAAGCTCACATTAGATCCGAGTTTGAACACCATCTTGGAGAGCAACTATTCTCTTAAAGAAATATATACTTACTCTTCTCCTAGACCACGGGCGGAGCTAGTTCACAAGCAACGGGGTCATATGACACCTATGAAATTTAAAATAACATAGTTTAGTGGAATTTGTTTTTTTCTATGGATGATACTGAAAACAGAATGTGAGACGGATTTAGAAGATGCAAACAAGTAAGTTAAGAAAATAGTACTAAAAGATTTTTGTTCTTGCTAAAAAGAGTCAATATTACATGTAATATTGAATCCATAGTCCATTTCAAAGCTAGATTCGGTAAACGAGGCAACGTATCAGGCTACGACATAGAAGGGGGGCTCCTATGGTCCACACTCTGCACGACTATGTAAACTATGTAATGATTTTGTAAAATACTTCCGAGTCCAATATTCTAAACATGTAACTAACCAAAGCATTATTTTAAGATAAGATGTATTACTACTAGTTAATTTTAAAATGCAGATTCGTGTCGTGGTCCAAGATTAACTTCTAAAAAACATAGAAAAATGACTTTTGTTGGTGGTATTAGACTTCGAAGACTCTTAAAACTAATTATAAAATTTAAGCATGTGCATGTATTTACTATTTAGTGATGACTGATTATAAATTTTAACCAGGATATTAAAATGGGAAACGACAACCACTTGGTGTTTGTATAATAAACGTATCATTTAATGAAATATAGGTATACAAAAATATTTGTGGAATAAAACACGTACATACAAAATTTGTTAAGAATTCTCACATCAAATAAAATATGATTTTAAAATAATATACATAAATGATTTATCCATTCATCATAAACTCATAAACCTTGATATGGAAATATGGAATCAAAGTGATCAACTAATCTAACAATTGGAATTTGATTTAAATGAATTAGTTAACAATAGTCATCAATGCAATGTATAGTGTTAGGGATAGGATATGATTATTATCGTTTTGATTGTATGGAGAAAAGAAAACCATCTCCACTAATTTGTATATATGATTAATGAGATAGATTCAAATGTTACAAAATAGAATGGAACAAAAAAAAAAAGAGGGATAGATATTAGAGGAGATAGATGCATGCATGTGTATGTACGCATAATTAGATAATGATAATAATATAGATTGACATGAAGATGTAGATTGACATGAAAGGCCCATGTGAAAAGAAAGAGTGATTCAAGAAGAAGAAGACCAAAGCTGAGCATTCTTGACTTTACAAATACTCTCTAACACATCTACTGGCATTATGTTCCCCTTCACCACCACCTTCTTGCTCTCTAGCTCCACTTTGTACCATGTCACTCCTGTTTATTATTATAAAGAAATCCATATTTAGTCTTTCAACAGTTTCATAAACATTTCCTGTTTAGAAAATATATTAAATATATAAAAACCAAAAGTTCTTTAATGTCAGAACTCTGCTATCTTTGAATTTCTGTTCTATTGTAGTTTGCAATGATTTCTTACAAAACTATTTCTTAATTTTTGTTTTTTTCATTTAACAAATGATTGTGATTAAGAGTTAGCTAGATTTTTCTTTTTATTGATAATTAAAGAGTTAGCTAATCTTTTTCTTCCCTAATTTTAACCATATGAAATATCAATAAATAAGCTACATTATTTTTTTATTTTTTCTCGGAGTTTTGATTTGATTTTTTCTTGGTTTTGTTTGGTTCAGCTTTTATTGTATGGTTTCAACAATTCAGCTTCACTTTTTGGAATTCTACATGTACAGAAAATACGGACCCATTTTGGTTTAAATAATTATAAATATTGACGACAAAGAAAAAAATAAACTAGACGCAATTATTGAAGGGATTTCATGACTTGTATGTAATTGTATTTCCCTAAAAGAAAAGCCTAAAGAATTAAAGAAGATTTGGCGTTACCGTCTAATTTAGAAATATGCTTCTCGACTTTCTTCGCACATCCGTAGCAATGCATTGACACCTTTAGCTCCACTATCTGCATACATCACCATCACCATTCCAAACTATTTTATAGTACAACTATTTTCAATAAAAGGCTTAATAAAATTTCGAACTTTAAACTCTTGACATAATTCATATAAAATCTTAGATGAAACTATATGTTTTTATAACTTATAAGTTCATGTATTATTCTATTCGATTTTTGGGAGAACAAGAAAAAAAAAAAAAACTAGAATAACTAGAAAAACGCACACCACCATAGAAGAAAAAAAGCCCCCACACAACTTTTGAAGAGCTAATAAAACATATATTTCACTGCTTCCAAAACATTTTCCTTGTGATAAGCATTTTTCAAAGCTCAAGAAATTATCATACATATTATATTACAAGATATAATGTTGAGATGATTTGTGGTTTACCTTAGGCTTAAGATGAAAGGCAAGAGTCTGGCGATGATCAGCAGCTACAACATCTTTTAATCTCATGACCTTCCCAGATTTCTCTGCTGAAGAATCTATCAATGGCTTCTTCTCAAACACTTCTTCTTCATCATCTCCTAGAGTGTTTAGACAAAAACATGAACACTGATTTGTCGGAAGAAAAAAACAATCCCATACTCTCCCAATTTTCTGGAGCTTCCCCATTAGTTTGAAAAAGTAATTAAGGGTTTTTAGAGAGTGTGATCTTGGGAAGACTAATAAAAAGGAGAAGTTGGGTGAGAAAGGAGAGAATATGTGAGAGAAATACTTGCTTGTATTACACACTTAAAGAGATGGAGAGAGAAGTAATAAGGTGTGTTAATAAGTCAAACCTTGAAATGATATTGTAGAGACCGATGAATTTACAATAGTTCTTTATTTATCTTCAATTCATAAACTAAAATGTTAAATCTATCATTAGATCTATCTTACTTTTGTCATTTTTCTTCCACTTTAATTTAGTTTAGACCATTGTGGTGAGCCAATATTATTATAACTCTTGATTAGTATGGCGAGTGTAACCACTAAGTTAGCTTATCTTTTGTGTTACTTTAATTTTAAATTGTACAATTTCATTGTCATCCAATGGAGAAGTATGTGAAATAACAGTTTACAAACATACAATTATATGTTCTATAATATGTATGATATGACAAGTGATAAAAGAAAGAAGAAGAAGACATAGGTCACATCTCACGTTCAACAACTCTCCAACATTGACACCAATTTTCTTATGTCATTGGAAATAAAATTAAATTGAATATTCATATAATTATAAGAGTGAATTAGTGAGAGAGGCATGTGATGCAAGCTAAGTTAGTGTGACTTGTAGATAAGCATCTTCTCTTTTGGCTTCACTCTCGCCGCTCCACTTCTCTACATTTTCTTTTAGTTTTTAATTTTGATTATCCCATCTCTTTGTCTCTTTATATTTGATTCAAAATTAGTCTTGTTAAATCTAATTTCTTTACTTTATATCTCTCATATCATGGATAAGATGAACCTGAGAACATGAACTTTCGACCAGAAATATAGAGGGGAATAATTATGAAACCAAAAAACATGAGTAAGCCTATGAAGAACATGTGGAAAGACCGTAAGAAGGTATTATATGCTAAGTGCTTTAGGTTAATCACGTGAAAAGACAAATGCATAATTCTTCTTCTGCATGCCAAAACATGCTCTTTCATTTTCATGCTTAATTATCGAAGCTAAATTAATTATGTTCCTACTTCATGTGCTATTTATCTTCACTTTTTTTTTTCCCTTCTATATTTCTGAATCCTCATTAGCTGGTTACTTATATTTAATTTAGGAAAATGCTTAGAGCATACACAATGGCACATGTGTAAGTGTAGTTGTGAATAATTTTTTATTATTATAATTAAAGAGAGAGAGAAAATAGAGAGAGAGATAGAGAGAGTGCAATATTTCTCTTTATTTTAATACTCACACCCAAGTGTAAACTTACACCCAACATACAACTTCTACACAACTTTTCTATTTTTTCTCCTTTTTATATTACTCACACCCAACCAAAGATTGTACCATTGTGTATGGTCTTATATACATTTTATAATATTATATGTACGAAGCTAGAAATACTGAACAGAGAAACACCAAAAAGAAATAAAAAGATTAAAAACACAACTGACAAGAAAAGGCTGGAACTAATTTAAATCAAACTTGTTATCACTTATCAACCTTACAAGTTACAATTAGTCTTCAGTTAAGAAAAAAAAAAGGAAAAAAAAAAAAAAAAACCTTGCTAAGCCAATTTTTATGAATTTAGATAGAGGAAAATATCAGTATCTATGCTAAGGGCATTTCCAACGATAATACTATTTTGGTGCTCAAATAACACTATATTTGGTGTAGATTTAACACTAAAATATTTTCCTTCTCCAACATAACACTAAATATCACACTAAAAATAATATGTTCTATTATTATATTATTAAACTAAAGATGCCTTTTATTTGTAATATTTTTAATTTATTAATTAATATAAAATTACAATCGATATATCAAAAATAGCTTTTAATTTTTATAATTTTATGTTTTCAATGGTTAATTGAATTTTATTATGTATTTCTCAATCAATTTTTTGTTGTTGTTTTAATATTTTCTACTGATTTATATTGCATATTATCGAAATTAAAAATAAAAAAAATTATGGTTTTGATACATTATTCTTTTTCTTATAAAATTTAGTAAGATTATTAAATTACAAGAAAAATCATATTTAGTATAATATAACTAAATAATAATGTTAATGTAAAAAAATTAATATTTTATTTTTACTGTTGCTACAGTAACACACCAAATATAGTGGAGTACTGTATAAAATAAAGGAATCACACTATTATAGTGTAATATTTACAGTTGGGTTGGAGTGAAAAAGTGGATGCATCATTTCAAAATGCAGTTTTACCGTTGCCTTGGAGATGGCCTCAAAGGACCAAAGAATTAAGTATGTATCCATGTTTCTTTATTAATTAAATAGACAAGAGAGAGAATGATTTTTTTTACGATTTTACCCTTTCTTCCACATTCTCCTCTTTCCAAATCTTCTTCTTTCTTTGTCGTCACCTCCATTTCTTCACAAACAGATTTTATATCTAACTCCCCATTTGGTTCATCAAATTCATCGTTTTTTTGTAACACACAATCATCACCAAACAATTCACAAAAATGGAGAGAACTTACACGAGTTTGGGATGAATTAAACTTTTAATTTGAAGAATTTGGGGATGAAATCATAGTTTTGTAATTTTGTAAATTAAATTGAATATAGAGAGGACGAAGATAAAAGAAATAAAGAGGAGAGAAGAAGAAGAGAAAGTGGTGAGGTGGACATGGAATGGAGTTGCAGTTGATAATGAAAAAAGAAAAAAATTTGGGAGAATGGCGACATAGGAGGATACTCAAGAAGAGAATGAGATTTTATTGTTTTTTTACGTCCACGATAACAAATAAGTTAACTGTGATAAACAATTACATGATAAATAAATATGTTAATGCATAAATTAACGGTAATAAATAAGTTGTTGAAATAAATAAACATGTTAACATTTAAGTTAGTTGATATCAATCAGATAATAAATAATCTAACACGATAAATACAAATTGACCATTATCGTGATACAATATGATTTATATTGCTAATCAAATCAATAATCACCAAAATCACTATCTTTTTATTTTCTCTCGTGATGAATAGTATTTTTAATGTTGGCCGAACAGTGTTTTAGTTTTTAGTTATCGCGATACAATTTGATTTACATTGTCAATCTAATAGATAACCACAAAAATTATTATTTTTTTATTGTTTCCGATGATAATTAGTGTTTCCAATGATAAATGAACAATATTATTTTTACTGTTAGAATTAAATTATTTATCTTGTTATTAATTTTGTTAGCACTCATATCTAACAAAGGGTAGTTTTGGTATTAATTGAGTTAGAGAAAATAAAACTAATAAAAAATAAGTAAGGTTAGATTTTTTATTTTTCATTTTTCTTGTGGACATATATATTTAACTCATCCTTTAGATAAATCCATAAATCTAGCTAGAATCATAAAATCATACTATTAGACTCTGGTATAATTATTTTTTGAGCATCTATACTATGCTATTCAAAAATATTTAACTATGAAAAAACTGATATAATTAATTCTTATGTAATTATTTCACATATTTTTCGAATTTAGTGTTAGATTTAAAAATAAATGATGGACATTTCTATTATTAAATGTTGGTCTCAGAGTTATAAAAAATTATTCCCAAAAATTTCCGAACTTCTTAGTTAACGTTATATATAATTTAGTATTAAAAATACTAATTCTGATGTAAGAAGTTGGCATCAGCACCGCCCCTCTATTATTGGAGAGGCATGGCCTCATTGGTTCAACTCTCTCTTTTTATAGTTCAATCTTTCATTCCGTTATATTTCTTTAACACTTTTTAGTTGCATACTTGCATGGCATGAACCCCATTTGAATGTGACAGCAAAAAAAAAAAAAAGGTAAGCGAAAACCCATTTGATTTTTCTTTTTCTTTTTTTCTCATTCACATGGTTAATCATTTATATATATATAATTTTAGATGATACGAGCATTATCGAATTGAGGATACATATATGACTAAAATTTGGCCTAACTACATCGACTTAAATCACCCTGACTTATGCCACGGTGAGCTAGTTCGACAAAGAAAACTTGGTTCACTGGTTTTTAATTGATCACGGACACCGGACTGGAGATATCTTGTTCAACTTGCTTTGCTAAATCATACTAGTAGACCAAAAACGTGTTGAGCCGGTAATCCGTTTTCTTTAATTTGCTTTTTTTTTTTTTTACAAGGTGATGACTATTCTCATATTTCTACATGTCCAAGCATTTAAACATGGTTGATAAAGAAGTCTCGTTTATATAAAAAGCTCATCCACTAAACACAAAATACTAATGAGAAAAAAAACAAATCCAGATCAATAGTAGATATCATAGTTAATTATATCCGAATTATTTTTTTAAGCATATCGGAAACACAAGATAATGGAGAGAAAGCTGGAGCCGCAAAAACATAGCTGCTGCGATGATTATTAAGTTCAGAAAAAAAAACGAAATCAAACATACGGACATTTAGTTAACAGAAATAAAAACACATAAAAATGTTATGTTTTGGGCATATGGGCAAGACGCCTATATAATGTCGGATGTCCAAATCCAGGGGCCAAAGACTACATGCATAAGTGTATATGTATGGTTTGAAAAAAAAAATTACTGTCTGATTATCATATGTTGGATCGAAATTAAAATGAATTATACTACGTGGGGTCGCATTGTAATTATTCTGAAAAATACATTAAATTGTCGAATTGAAATGTCACATCTTAAGTATAATAATCACTGCATATGGACCATAACGAACACTATAGCTGAGTGACTACACTCACTTTCGTCTTTACGGCCATCTAATGTTTCTTGCTTGTGTTATGTCTCTTCTCTTGCTTTTAGTTTACTGCTCTCGCACAAAAATCTAAGGTATAAGGGCATATGCAACGTGAGATCTTTGAAGTTTGATCTTAGATTGAAAATATTATTAAAATATTATAAGAGTTTTAGTTAAGATCTTTTGTAGAGTAATTGATTAAGGGTAGAACATGTTTAGATCTTAAGAAATAATAATTTAATAATCAAAAACTTTAAATGTTATTTAAAAATTGAATTTTTTTTTTTTTAAAAGTAAGTTATATTAAAATAGAGATGAAAATAAAATAAAACACAAAATACTATTCGAATTAGTTATTACACAAAAAAAAACATTAAAGATATAAATGAAAAACATTAAAAACAAACAAACATATTAATTAAAGGTTACAAACATTTTATTTAATTAATACAAAGTTAAAAAAAATTATTCATTACCAAATGTAGTCCATATATTCTCAATCAAATCCTCTTTTAATTGGTGATGTGCTTGTCTATCACGAATTTTTGTGTGACCATCACCTAGACCCTCGAGATTTGTAGGCATCTCGACTGAAAACGTATGAATCTCGTCTTGTTCGAATTCTTCTTTGTCATATAGAGTGTATAAATATCGTTCATCTTCGACAATCATATTATGGAGTATGAGACATGCTCTCATAATATATGCTATTTTACCTTTCGACAGAAACCGACATGGATTTTTAATCATGGCGAATCTAGATTGCAGGACTCCAAATGCACGCTCAACATCTTTTCGTGCACCTTCTTGATGTTCTGCAAACAAACGATGTTTCGGGTGTTGTGGTCGTTGGATGGATTTCACAAATGTCGCCCATTCGGGGTAAATTCCATCCGTCAGATAGTAAGACAAATTATACTCCCTTCCGTTGACATAGTAGTTCATTTGGGGAGCTCGACCGTAAATAATGTCATTAAATACTGGGGATTGAGCAAGAACATTTAAATCGTTACTTGTACCTGGCGCTCCAAAAAAGGCGTGCCATATCCAGAGATCTTGTGAAGCTACCGCCTCCAAGACAATTGTTGGTTTCTCGGTCCCTCGTGAATACATTCCTTTCCAAGCGGTTGGGCAATTCTTCCACTTCCAATGCATGCAGTCGATGCTTCCAACCATCCCAGGAAAACCCCGCTGTTCTCCATAAAAGAGTAGCCTTTCAAGATCCTCTGTTGTGGGTCGACGTAGGTATTTAGTGCCAAACAAATCAACTATTGCAACGACGAAATGTTCCAAACATTTACGTGCCGTCGTTTCACCAATACGTACATATTCGTCAACCGAGTCGGCCGCAGCCCCATATGCTAATTGTCGAATTGCTGCAGTACATTGTTGTAGCGGTGATATACCATTCCGGAAGGTGGCATCTTTTTTTGGTTGAAAATATGACACTTCTGCTGCGAGACGATTCACAATACGCAGGAACAATGGCTTGTTCATGCGAAACCTTCTGCGAAATAGGTTCTCCGTGAAAGTCGGATTATCATTGAAGTAATCCTTACACAACTGTTCGTGCCCTTCTTCCCGATTTCTTTCTATATAAGTACGCTTCTTCCTTTCGGTCGGAATAACCTCTTCGATCCCATCACATAGATTATCAATTTGTGCGTCGATATATTGGTCGAAAAAATCATCATCACTACTAGATGAATTATGAAAGTGAAAATTGTTGGAAGAAGATGCCATAAAAACGGAATGATTGAAATGGTTTATATGGTTGAAATTTGTAGAGAAGGAGAGAAGAGAAGTGTTTTTGCAAGACATGAGAGAAAGGGATTTTTGTAGTGTTTATGAGAGTTATGGGATGTTTGATTTTGATGAGAGAAACGAAGGTAAGAATCACATATATATGTTAAGAAATTTTGTTACTCTTGCTTTAATAATACAAGCCGAACACATGTGCCTCTTGCTTTAATACTACTATCCAAACACATGTGACTCTTGCTTTAATACTACTATCCAAACACATGTGACTCTCGCCTACAATCCAAGCCTGACATGTAACTCTGTTGACATTACATTTTCGATTACAATTTGCAAAAGTTTAGCTTACATACTCGATTGATACCAAAAGGAACAAAGTCATGTGACTCACAATCCAAAAGTTACATTACCAAAGGTCCACAAGCTGGTGAATGGGCATCCAAAGTAACAGCTATCAGCCTCCTCTTCAGAACTGTAGTCTAATGGGCTGTTTATTCCATAGTCGTACATAGAATCAAGTCCCATGTCTTCTTGAACCTGAAACCAAACCTCAATTAACATAACTGATTCATTATAAATATAAGCATAGAAGTTGAACAAGGTTCAGATAGGTTACAATAGTGGAACAACTTATAACTTCACATCTACAAACACACATACTTAGCTAACAGAAACATATGCATAATGAAAAACATAGTTAAATCAGACATATCAGACATAGTTAAATGATCTTAGTTTTTCCCTAATTTAAAACAGCTCGCCCATTAGCTTCTTCTTAAGAACTTTTTCATCTTCATCCAGTGATTCACTCCTTGCAAGGAGAGTCTTGTAAACAGAGCTGGTTGGCTTTGGAGTAGGGTTCATAGGCTCCAGGTTCAACCATTTCGGTTCGTAGCGCAGCGCATTCCATGCATACTCCAAACTGAACTTCTTCTTGTACAGCTTATAGTAGAGTTGGTGAGCATTGTTGATAATGTCCAAATCATTCATGCCACTAGCTTTCTCACTAAATGCTTCAGCATAATTTCCACAGAACCTGGCCACCTCCTTCTGGATTTTTTGCCATCTTTGCCTACAATGGTCTGGGAGCCTTGGCTCAGCACCACCAAGTACATGAGTACTTGATGCATAATAATCTCCTATACGCTTCCAAAAGGCTCCTGCCCTCTGGTCATTCCCAATTATAACATCCTTGGATGTGTATAACTAGCCGCTTATGAGGACAAGGTCATCACTGCTGGTCCAAATCCTTCTCTCCCTTGGTGTCTTTTCTGGTTGACTTGCAGCTTCAACCGGTGGTGAACTCGTTTGTGCACTAAAAGAAGGGATTTGAGAGAAAGAAATGTTTGCATTGGGGGAGAATCTGTCGTAAGGGAAGTTATTCAGGCTATAGTATGGTTGAGATTGAGACTGACTATTTGGATGGTTATTTGAATCCATATCCAACAGAATAATAGAAGGAAGAATGTGATGAAAAGAGGAGATATGATAGAAGAGAAGTAAAATATTGGGGAAAAGAGAGATTCAAAGAGGAGATATGCCAGAAGAGAAGAGAATATGAGAGACAATGAATTTAACTTACCTCTGGTTTAATAGAGGTAAGTTACACTAGTTATTAGTCTTAAATAATGTCCAGAACCTACCTCAATCAACTCAGGAATAAAGACACTTTCCAACCAAACAATCTTTAAACTAGCAAATAAACTCATAATAATGAGAGCTAACCTTGAACTACCAAGATCCAATCAGAATTTATTACAACTTTACACAACTAACTATTTTTAAGTTTTGAAGTAGCTTTTAATGGATTTCATTAAGTTGTTGTTACAACTTCATTAAATTTTTGTGGATTTCGTTTCAACCTAACTAATCATCAAGACAAAGTCTGTTCTGTTACAACCAAAGTATTAACAAAGCACTACCAGTTTCAACAAGCATCACTTAAACTACTCAACTCTCACAAAACAACTTAGATACAACTTACAAAACAACTACCATCATAAAACAAGATACATACAACATACATACTTCAGTTTAAGCAATCATCAGAAAACAAGAACAAGAACTCTAAACAAGCTACTTCAGAAGCTAAATCACAACTATATTGAGAAGGGTATTACCTTATAGTTGGCAGGAAATGGTTGTTGATGTTGATACTCCGATCTACACTTCAGAGCTACCTCACCTACATGTCTCACAACCAAAACAAACACTTGTGGTCAGTTTAATCAAGAAAAAAAGACACAATACTCATAACAAAAACATTAAACCCTAATTTGCATCAGATGTTAATAAATTCACAACTCGCCTCTGCTAGCCAAAAACTCGATCCCATCACAGTTAAACGCCTAACCTTCCAACCAAAAACCTAAACTTTCTCATTGACTAAAGTACACACAGATTGATGGCAAATCAGAACAACAAGCAACCAAACCCATAGTCTACATCGACTGTATCTCATATATTCGGATACTAAAACCCAAACCTAAACCTACATCGACTTGTAAAACTAAATCCACTAAATCTCAAACTTTCAGATGATAACACGTACCTACGGGCTTTGGGAGACAGCAGAGAACGACGGCGAGGTGAAGCAGCAATCAATTTGGCTCCGATTTGGCCGGAAATCGGTGCGTAATCGGCGAAGGAAAGAAGCCGGCAAAATCGCCACGAGAGAGAAGGGTTGAGACAAACCCTAGATTGTTTTCGATTTTGTCACAAATGAAAAACGATTTTCGTTATCAAAAATCGCAACGAATCAGCGGATGACACGTGCACACAAGATCGGGCCAAAAACAGTTCTAGCCCGAGAACATGAGATGCAATCTAAGCCCACTTTTAAAAAATTTTATCAATATTAAAATCTTAGAATAAGCCTCGTGATGGCCGATAATTATGGTCTTAGACTTGACTACGTAGGACTAAAGATTTACCACACTTAAAGGTAGGTCCACTAAAGATACAAGTATACAACTAGATGAACCAATTATATAGAGATCGAATGTACATTTCCAACATATGTTTTACTATGCTAGATTGCTTGATTCAATTTACAATTACAAATAATTTATGTCAGTTTAAACGATTCACAAGTAACTAACATTTTTTAGTTTTATTTTTTTATTGGCGACACAAAACGGAAAAGCATAAGAACAAATGCAGTAAACAATAGTGGAATAACTAGAAAACACAAAAGATATGTAACTAGTAACAATTAAGAGCATCTCCAATTGTTGGCATTTTTTCAAAAATTAAAGTTTCTTCAAAATAAAGAAAAAATGAAGCAAGACGTTTTCTATGGTTTCCTTCATTTTTTAGGATTGAGCACGATTACTCATTATTTGTCCCGTATCCCTTACTTATTTCATACCTGCTTTTAAAAAAGAAGTACATGTTGTTATTAAGACAAATAAAAAGTTATAAAATTTAGATATTTACAAATACAAGCTAAGTAATAAATAATTTTAATCAAAGAAAACTAATACTCGACTTGTTTGACTTGTTATTAGTTTAAAAACATATTTAAAAGTTATGTTAAAAGTAATGTAAATTTTAAACAGATAAAAACATAAAAAACAATCAACAAGAAATTGCAAATAATTTGAAAGTGTTACTTGCAAGTAACTCGTAAATAATAAGTAATTCGTAAGTCAATCATTTTTAATAAATACTTAAAATTACGAGTATTCGTTTTCAACAAAGCAAGTACAAGTACAAATCGAGTTTAGAGATAATAAGTATCTCTAAAATAATGGATACTTGTCTTGTGCTCACCCCTTATCGTTGCAACTTTTTCTCTAAAATAGTTTTAACATGGTGGAAGGTTATTTTGCAGCTTTTTAAAGTTGAGATTGACCATTCTACAGAGAAAGAAAGAAGATAGAAATATTAGATTTTTAAAAACCTTTTTTCCTATTTAATTCATTAAAAGAGTACATATATATGGTAAGACAATTTCTCTCTAGTTATAATGTCATTTTCTACCTTTCGTACTAATACATAGTCATACAGTATTTCTACTACATTTTGTCTTCATTAACAAAACTCACACCTATATTTGGGCTTAATTTTACTTAATGGCCCAAACGCCCTTCTTTGATTTTCTTTTTGTGAACCTTCTTTTCATCCACAATTCTTCTCTTTTTTCGACAATATTTCTTTGGCCTCGTTAGTCTATACAACTACGGTCAAGACTCAAGAGCTTCCTTTGTTCTCTTATTCTCAGTAGTCATCTTCTTCTCATCAAGTTTGACTTTTTCTTTTGGAAAACTTAATTAACAATCTAGGGTTTTAAATGTCTTACTCTTCTATGGCTGTACTTTTATTCACCAGAAAGCTGTTAACTAGGTGCCATTTTATCTTTGTTGTGTTGTTGTAATATTAACTTATCGGTGGTTATTCTTATCTATCCGTGCCTTTGTTTTATTCTTAGTCTTTTTTATATTTTCTTGAGATAATCTTAAGGTTGATATTGTTTTGTAAAAGTATTTACATTGGGACCATCATAATTCTTGTTAAGAGTGAAAATTTGGTTTCTTCTTAGATGTGTTTTGGAAGATTGAGACATCGTTCAAAGTGAGGATCCACGTTATCCCTTTTTGTCTGTATACCTTTTTAAAGAATCTTTGTTCGATGATGACGAAAAACTCTTTGGACTTTTTTTATAATATAAATGGTGTAGGCTTTCTATTTTTTATTTACATTTTGACATATGCATGCGTAATTTTATGTAGAACCATCATATGGACATATTTTTGATAATCAAAACCCTTGACAGTCACAAATGAGATGATGAAATAATAATCATAACTATTTTTGTATCCACCTTCCTAGAACAATCTACTTACAAAGATTTGATTTCCAAATTCCAACAATTCCCCAATCTAATCGTCTAATAACTATCTTCCCACCAAACCCATGAGAGCATGTTTGCTTTGCCACCGCAACTTCCATCTTGGTCGTAGGTGAAAAAGGTGGTTTAGTTCTATCCCATGGAGAAAAGAGATCCAAAACGACAAAGTTCTTTGTCGTTTCCCAAAACCTCCTTACCTCTCATGTCCCACTTGTTGGTTGTCTTCTGCTCTTTAGTATGAGAGGAGCCACCAACATCCAAACTATCAAAACATTTCATTATAACAAAACATTACAAAACTGTCTCACAATATCAAAATTTTAAGGATGAAGCATTCAAAATGTTGTCATGACTTACTGTATACGCAAACCGCAAGCCACTCGTTCACAACCCTAACCCAAGTACTCGTCCATCCCACGTCAATTGTCCACCTGAACGCAAAATAAGAAAGAAAAACAGTATGAGTTGAAGTCTCAAGCTTCAAAATGAGACTACAAATCTCACAAAAGCTTTCTAGTTTATTATATGTATATGAATAAGATTGTTGAGAAAAGCTTTACTTTTTCATGGGGTGATGAGTGTTCCAACCGATGAGTAGCATAGCGAAGTACATTGCTCCTGTGGCAAAAACAAAATGGAAGAATCCATATCCATAAGGAACACCATCTTCCTCTTCTTCTTCTTGATCGTTCTCATCTTTCTTGAATTGGAAACATTGGGAGTCTATTCCTGTAGAAAATGTGGCAATAACCATTGCGAGTAGCGCAACCACAAAGCTCTGCACAAAGTTATTCAAAATCAGCATTTTACTTTTGCATAAAACAGAAGCAAAGGAGGGTTGAGAGGTTAAAAGAGTTTACAATGATGGTAAGCCAGTCCGTTCTGTTCGAAGCTGCTGCTTTTCTATTGCAACTTTCTCCCACTGGTTCACTGCACAACATATTTTGGAGATGAATGAATTTACAATTAGAAGACTTCAGCATAAGAGAAATATTATTAGCTCAAGCTTCTTATAAACTTATATATGTTTTAGGTTGGGATGCAAAACTTGAATAGAAGTAGGTCAGTTACATTTAGGACGTTCACAAATGTAATTAGATGGTTGGAATTTCTTTAGAAATTATATCATAATTTTTTGTGAATTTTTTATACTTTTGTAACAGTTGAAACATTGAGATTTACTATAAACCAAAGATAAATCTCTACAAAACCACTAGAAAAATAACTATATTTTGTTAATAGGAACCTGCATCTTTCGATTCGATTCCTAATTTCCTAGTATCCTTAAACCAAGAAACCCGACCCTTGGAACACATACGTCTAGAACCCTGAAACAGAAACCCTTAGACCACTCATCATCATCTTCCCCTTTAGAGCTTTCTTGTTAACAGAAGCTTAACTCTCCGTTGCTGCTGGTTTTTGAGGAGGAGCAATTGGGTTTAAGGTTGGTAGCTGTGTCTGCATTTCCTTGAACCTTAAAATATCGTTAACGACACAGAAGCCGTTGTCTTGTTGAGCCAGAAGAAACGTTTGTGTAAACTTCTTCCTCACGTAATCTTTCTTCCTAGTCAAGTAACCATTGACAAACACAATAACACGACCATTCTCCTTAGGATATGGTATACCAAGTGAAGTTTCAATCTCCGCCGTGTAATCTTCGTATCTCATAGCCAGAAACTCATCTTTCACCTCTTTCTTCGTCCAAAAAGTTTTCTTGACGTGGGTTGCAAGATCATGACGGTTAAATAGACATGGTTCATTGTAGAAGATATGAAGATAGTGAGGTTCTTCGTTAAGAATGTGAAAGTATTGCTTCACAAAGGTATTGCTAACAATATCTGCATTAGTGTTGTTCTCTGACATATCTCCAGGGATTGAGAGAGCTCTGATGACAGAAGCTTCGAAGGAAGATGATGAATGGTTCTTGGCTTATCTTCTCCACCATATATATAGTGGCTAAGGACTCCCAAGACCAACTAAATTTCCTAATCCTACTCGACTAGTACCAACTCCTAATTCCTAAACCATACTAACTTTTTAGAGAAGTTACCTAAACCACAAAATAAATAAAAATAGAGATAACAATAAATTTGAGATTATTTTTAAAAATATATATATAGAGGATAAATTAAAAAATATAGAAAACAATCAAATCCCCAAGTCGAACTTAGGAAAAACAGAGAAATAGATGAAACAATGATTTAGTTTTGTTTGATTTTCAAACTTTTAAACCAAATGAAAATTTTAAATTTGAACAACTAACCGGCCTGGTCAACCAAACTATCGGTTTGTGGGTTAATTCGGGGTTTATCTGATTTAACCGGGTCAAATGATTTGGATTTTTAAGATCTAACCGGACCGGATTATCGGTCAAAGACATTGAAAAAACAGAGATCAAGATTGAAGGAAACATAAACATACCTTCGAATGGCACACCAGCATATAAACACAACATAGAGTCCCATAAGAGCTGGAGTCAAGTATCCGGCATTCACCTGATAATATTGGCAAAAGCACAAACAAACCTTAATAACTTCAAACATCCAAAACACACATGACATGAAGATGAATAATAATGGATACAAAAATAATGGATACAAAAAAAAGACTTACTTTCGGATGGAGAGCGATGCTTGTCATGAGTTGGATAAGGAACAAAGTCCATGTTATGAAGAATATATTGAGAAGGCATGACGAATCAGGCGCGTACCAAATGTACATCAAAATCACTCCTACTATGCAAACTGTGTATGAAGTAGTTGCTAGTAACATCACATAGACACGGCTACAAAATAGAAAGATGTGTTGCTTACTTAAGTATAAATTGAAATAAAAACTAAAACTATCAGGTGAATCGAATTTGAAATAATCTAACTAACCATCTTTCTGCATCTTTTTGGGACTGATAGCATTCGTTAAGCCATTGAATGAAACTGATCACACTAATTAGCTGTATTAGAAGAAATACCCTATAGAGAAACAACGACAATATAAGATTTGGCATTTTTAATATATTATATACATTGTGAAGTTGGAAATATCAATCAAAATCTTACCCTGCACCAAAATGGGCAATCTCTCCTGCAATCAAACCAAAGAAAAAAAGACGTTTTCGATTAGTCGTCAGGCCAATTGAATTTGAAAGCGTATATAAGTTTTTCTTATCGAGCCTAACCGTAAAGATGAATAATGGAAGAAGGAAGCAAGAAGGGGATTATGGTTAAGGCAGGCCACAGGATAAGCTTAGCAAACCACCATCCAGAATGCCATCTATCTCTTGATGAATGCGTTTTCGACGTGCCAAGCGTTGAAAGAAACATAACAAAGTAGAACAACTGATAATTTAAAGGTTAAGCTCAAAACATTTTCTGATTTAGTGACTTGAAAAATTATATAATGTGGAAGTAACAATTGAATCAAGAAAGGATACAAAACATCCCAAGCTAACTCTTAAGACACCGTCGGTCCCCAAACAGTTTTCTCCGCCTTTACAGTTCTTGAATTCTGCAATATGATCAAACTTATAAGACAAATGAATGAATTAGTTATAATTGAAACATGATCCAAGTGACACATACTTGTTACTTTTCTTAAGGCCCCCCGACCATAATCACGAGCAGCCCAAGCTAGTAGATTCGCGATGAGAAATATCAGACCGTATACATATCTAGCCATCCATGGATTGCAACCATTGCGGAACTGATTAAACCATGATCCATTCTTGATTGCTTCATAGCTATCGTTTCTGATGCTTCCGCTGTTGTTACTAACACTTGTACCGGTCTCCATTAGTCCTTAAACTTACCAGACGCTCTCCTCTTCATATCATTAGAAGATCAAGAAATTCAAGAAACAGATCACTCATTCCATGGGAGAATTTTGCATCAGAAATCAGTTTCTTATATGGAAGAAATCGTCAAGACCGAAAAAAGGCAAACCAAGAGCGATGAATTCGCCCTCCTTCAGATCGAAACCTGTGAAAACAAACAATGAAAACTCAAGCATTTGCAAAAACAGAGTCGGCAAGAACAGAACAAGGAGACAAAAGAATGAAGCAAAGGATAAGAATCCGATTCCGTTATCAAAACAATGAGAAGAACGCATACAAATCTATTCAGAAACGGTAGAGAGATTGCAATCTGTAGATTTGAAGTGAACAAAATTCATGTTTTACATGAGAAACATCTTTAGTCTATTCTCAAAAAATCACACAGAATCCGTTTCTCAACAGAAAGCATCTCATTTCTTTTCTGTTTCAGCCGAACATAAACAGAGAATACGTATAGTGCAAGTAATCTTTTATCTTCTTTTTAACCTAAACTAAGAAAAGCAATCTTTATAAGCGTCAACGAGAATCCACAATAGATGGCTCTTTTTAATCCAAGACTTGCAACTTTAAACCTTAACCATGTGAATAATAAAGACTAAAAGACAAAAACATACCAAACTTAAAAAGCAAGACAGTCAAGATTCTTAAGACTTAAAACTCCCAAAGTCAAGATTTGGCAGGAACTGATAAATACTAATCCAAAAAAGCAAGAACCTTTTTGTGTTGTAACTATAATTACCCTAATGATAATGGAGAGGCGTGGATAAACAAAGAAGCACCCAAAAAAACTTTATTTGACTAGGAAACAAAAGGTTAAGAGATCAAAAGAAAAAAACGAAAAAAGAATTAGTTCTCAAAAAGATTTATGCAATTTGTCACAAATTTGAACTTGAAAAAAGAAACGTGTTCTTACGGATACAATTGGGCAGACGAATGTTACGAATATGAATGGGTAATGTTAAGCAGCAATATCAAATGCCCTTTTTCTAGGGATTCATTGGTCCACTAAATAGAGTAAAGACACATACCTCCACTTAGACGAGTTGAAGAAAAAAGTGGCATAATTGATAGACTATCTTTGCAAAAAATCTAAGAAAGAAAAACGTCATCTACAATATTGACATTAACATATATACACATTATTATCAAATCTTCAAATTTCCTATATTGCTAAAGAATCTTCAAAATTTTCTTTTATTGAGTTTTAGACTTTCTATAATGATCTAATCTTGAACTTCTAAGGCCCAAGAACAGAAAAAAAAAAAACTTGACCATTAACCCGTAGGCTAGAACATATGGCAACTAAGTGATTCTATTATTAAACGTGAACGTGCTTGCTCTGTGACCATTTATTGCCTTATATGAGTAATTGTCATATTAAAATACTTGACCATAACTCCATAAGTTTTAGATGTTAGAAAATTATGGTTTTCGTCGGTTACAACCATCACAAACAGCGATTTAAATGGATCAAAACCGCATTCATAATGTTTAAATTATATATATATATATAATTATATATATAATGAATTTTTTAAGTTTGAAATATCGATTTTTATAATTTTTAATATTTAGTTAGTAAATAATATTAAAATATTTTTAGATGAAATATAATCCACCGTATTTATATTTTAATATGTATGAAACAAAGTTCAAAATATTTATCAAAAAAATAAATTCCCAAGAGAAAATCAATAGCTCTTTAAAAACCTTTGCATAAAATTTAGGGATATAGGCAGTAATAGTATATATAAGTATATAACTGAGTAGATCTAGTGATCATTCTCAGTTTCTCACGTTCCACGTTCATAATAGACTTAGAAGTTAGGAGTAATGAGATCATGGCCTTGCCATTATGAAATACATAATATATAAATATGAAATATAGAGAGAATAAATAATGGTGAATTTGATCCTAAGATAGAGGTAACATGTGAAGATGCGAGGTATTGGTACTTGTAGTCTAGGTAGTAGATCAGAATGTTTAGATTCTCAGAAATAAGAATTGGTCTGACGTATCATATCTCGTAACGTTCTAAACCAAAGTAATGATTATATTCTTTAACACTATAGATAGGCCATCTTATGGACCTCATCAAATCTTTCGTCCCCAAAATAAAACTCTTAAAACCAAAAACTTACTTTGAGGATTAAAATCGTTTTCATCTACAAACCCGAAAATAACCGACACCTAAACCAAACTTGCACAATTAGATGGACTAGTAAACCATAATACCAAATAGTCAAGCATACATTGGTTGTTGTTGTTTTTTAATTGTTTTCTAAATCAACATTTGCGTTGATTGTGTTTTCATTGACTCTACACAATAAAATGGACAGCCAATAGAAGTTGAATCTTTATTTTGTGTGTGTTCTCTTTTGACTCAACGAAGAGAAAAATAGTTTATTTTAGCCGCAGAAATTGAGTTAGATTGCAAAAGAAGGAAAAACAAACGTAAAGCAATACTAAATAGTCTATCCCCAGTCTAAATTACATATGTTTTAAAATAAACAATACTAAATGACTAACGCAAAACCTTAAATTCTTGACAACTTAATTTTGACAAAAAAAAGGTCAAAAACAAAACGTAAAACAATACTAAATTGTATATGTTCTAAAAAGAAACAATACTAAATTTTGACTTAACTCAAAACGATAATTTCCTAACGACTCATTAAACTTTGACAAAAGATGTCAAAATATGTCAATAGCTCGTCCTCATGTGTTTTTTGGGCATAAACATTAAAATTAAACTTAATTATGAAATTCATAATTATGTTGATTTTTTTCGGCTAATCTTGTTGGCAAAGTGAGATAATTAGCAGAAAGCAAAGAGGCTGAAAAAAGAAAAAGTGAGGTCGAGTGGTCCCTCGATGTTCCACAACTTTGGAAATGTTTCAACTACAATTTTGACAAGTGGCTCCGACCAATTTTCCGGTGCTTTTCCGGCGACCGGAAGAACAAACAAAAATATTACATAACTAATTTTACACCCGGAGCTAAGTTTCGTTTTCCCTAGATACATTCATAATTCATAACAAGCACACACACACGCATGAACATGTTTATAAATCTCAGAGATCCTAAAAAAGACAAGAAAAGAGAAGAGAAAAGAAAGAGAAAGAACCTGTGGTTTTTCGTGTCTTGAATCTATGAAGTGAGATTGGATCTGGAGATGTAAATAATGTTGTGTGTTGTTAGTTGTTACCTCCACAAGCTTCTTCAAAATGTGAAAAGATAAGAAGGACAACAACAAATCTGAGAGAAATGTGAAAAAGAAAAAAGAATCGGTTTCAGGTATTGGTTTCAGGTTTTATGATCAGAGCTTTTGCTTTTAGAAAACAGTTGTTATAAGGTCTTATATACAAAATCTATAGATAACATTAATATGCTTAGTTTTTTGTAAATATCTTTTTTTATTTGTAATTTGTGTTTTTTTTTTCTCCCGCTGTTAGCTTCCTATTTCCGCTACATCCTCTCGTATTATTCTTTAATAAGAAAAATAAAAATCTGAAATGAATTTTTTTATAAGCCACAAAATATTTGATTATATA